AGAGAGAGAGACAGAGAGAGAGAGAGACAGAGAGAGAGAGACAGAGAGAGAGAGACAGAGAGAGAGAGACAGAGAGAGAGAGAGAGAGAGAGAGAGAGAGAGAGAGAGAGAAAGGGGAGAGAGAGAGGAGGGAGGAGGGAGGGAGAGATCAAATTACAAAACGAGCTTTGTATTTATTTAAGTATGCACACAGAGTCATATGGTTCTCTGATACCAAAAGAAATGGATTTTACTATTATAGGTATTTATTGTTAAACAAAATTCCCTTTTAGAATGTCAACATAGCATACCCCTTCATTAATAACTAGCACTGCTCTTGTTCTAAGCCTTTGTAATACTAATGCATGAACTGTTTCATTGATGAACATTCTGCTCTGCACTGGGTACTCTGTTATATTGTTTCCAGCTATAACTTTTTATATTTTCTCTCATTTTTTGTAAGGGGGGAGAGGACACAAATTGTCCATATTTGAAGAAATGGTATAAATGGAAATTACTGTTTTGGAACAACTTATAGGAAAGGTAAAGAGGAATTCAGTATGCAGGCAGAACTTGGTAACCAGTGAAGTCACTTGTGTTTGTAGGAGAAATTAGCTTATAGTTTAGCTGTCCTTATCCCTATCTGCCAGGAAGTGCTTGTTAAAAATACATTCTGCAGTGCTGGGCTAGGGGCTCCATCTTGCCCAACTCTGGTAGGTGGTAACCTAATTCTTTGACTAAATTCCCCTGCTCATCCAGATAGTCACACAAATGGGTTAGTTTTGTGCAGTTCTGGTAGTTACTCAGTTTTTTTTTTTTTTCTTTTTCAAGTGAGGCACACTTCCCCTGCTTCAGGCTATTCTTCACTGATCATCATCTGGTTTCCTAAATGTACTAAGGAAGGTTCTAGAACCTCCTTAGTTCTACTCCATCAGTTTCTGAGCATGAAGTAGATGAAGAAAGTATTTGATACAGTCCTTCAGAGCCACATCATCAGAGGACCTGGGTTTGGTTCCCAGCACCCACATGGTAGCTCACAACTATCTGTAACTCTAGTTCCAAGGGATCAGATGCTCTCTTCTCACCTCTAAGGGCACCAGGTGTGCACATGGTGCACATACATACATCAAGTCAAAATATTCACATACACATAGAATAAAAATAAAATAAAATAAAATTTAAAGAACACTGTCCTAGAATATGAAAACTTGTGGGCAAATCCAGAAGTTGCCCAATTTAGCTTCCTATCTGATGGGTATATTCATTTCCTCTTAATCCTGCATAGTTCTTTTTATTTCCAGGGCAATGTAACTTTGCCCAGACCCTTCAGTTGTTTCCCAGGGCATGGAGTACCTACTCTGAAATCGTCAGCATTGACAGCTTGCTACTCAAAGTCTTCTTCATTCCTTTCTATCAACATATATTCTCACCCAAATCATCTAGCAACATTCTCCTCCAAACCATGCCCAGCTCCTCTTCTGTGCCTGGCCCTTATTTATAAAATCACACCCACACATGATCAATATGTGATAAATATTTATGCATGAGTGAGATACTCCTAGGATCTATGTCAACTCTGGGCAAGACATTGCATTATTAAACAGGAATAATATAGATAAAATAAAATTTGGAGTGACATAAACGTATTAGTTTTGTATTTGTGCACACAGATATAATGTAATGTTCTTTCATTATTTTGTGATGCTTGATGCTATATTTTAGGAGACAGTAGTATTGTTTGTTGCATGTTTGGGAAAAATAATTTTCAAATATTCTACATGTTTTTTGAACCAGTATATACAATTAAATATTAACCAACTTTATTGGTATCAATATCTAACAGATCTTACAGTTGAGAGCAGTATAAAACATCTAATGCTGACCTAACGCTGAATTACTGCATGTAAGTTTCTATTTTAATGCTCTGAGAGGCAGGCTAAGCATATGAACAATGAATAATTACAGACTTTTTGTGCCAGTTCACATTTGGAGGCTGTGACCAGAGCCCATGAAAGTGAATTTCACTAGAGGAGAATCCTGAGGAATGCTCTGGATGAACTCACCACCTTCCAGGTCTGAAGCTGTCATGTGATCTTTTTCTCTCAAATATACAGGTATCTAATAAAACTAACAGAGACTTCTGTCAGGTTTCTGTTTCCTCTCACGTTAGGAATAGTAAGGAGCCCAGTCCCAGTCTCCTAACAATTTCACATGCAAAGTTAAATCACAACCAGAAAGTTGTTTGCTTGGTGAGAACAGTCAGCCAGGGAGTAAGATGAATGGCTAATACGAAGCAGTTGTGGTTCTGCTGTGCAGACACCCCCGACTCTCCTTGAGCAATAGATGTTCCCCAATGTGTGGTGCCGGAGCAATTCTGGTTTCTGACTTCTCTGGCTGTGTGATAGTTTTCTTTTTCTAAAGGAAAACCGGTGCCATTTTCCCTGTAGTAGCTTTCGACTCATTAGAGACAGGCTTTCCAGCACGTTTTCCTGCAATGCTTTTGCAGGTAATTCAGAAAGGTGGCTCCCGTGTGCTGCGTGTCTCATGCTATTTTCCCCTTTTGCATGATGGCTGCAAGTTGAACTTCATAATTTCTGATTGTTTCTTTGGGTAACCAAGGAAATGCAAACATATAATTCAAAATTTGAGATACAAAAGAAAATCATAGAAATGGATTGACTGGAAGAGACGGCAATTCTATTTTTAGTTTTGTGGAGAACAAAATGGAATAATTGTTTTCCAAAATGATTGATTGTACTGATTTATATGACCACCAAAAATGCACAAGGGTTCCCTGAAATTAATATGCCAAAAAATCTTTACTCTCATGTTCAATTCAACGTTATTCGCAAAAACCAGGTTATTGGAGCAAATGCAGTTATCCATCAATTGTTGGATAAAGAAAATGTGAAACTGAGTAGTCTTTAAAAAGATGAAAACAAGGGAACTTCTGTCAATTGCAACAATATGGCTAGAACTAGAAGACACTGTGTTGAATAAAATAAATCATGCACAGACTATCTTATCACTTAAAAGTGGAATCCCCCAAAAGTAAGAATTGTAGACAGAGAGTAGAAAGTTGACCATTAGATCAGGAAGGGAGGAGGTAAGGTAGAGAAAGGGTTGATGTTCATCAAAAGACACAAATTTTCATTTGAGTTGGAGAAATTCCCAAGTGTTTAGTGATCTTGTGCTGCAGCATGACCTCATTTAATAATGTATTATTGATTTCAAATTGCTAAAAATTAGATTATTTAACTTTCTTCACAAAAAAGTAATGGTCAGGCATGGTGGTGCTCACCTTTAATCCCAGCACTCAGGAGGCAGAAGCAGGCGATTTCTGTGAGTTCAAGGTCAGCCTGGTCGACATAGTGAATTCCAGGCCAGCTGGGGCTACAGGGAGACCCTGTCTCAAAAAGACCAAAACAAAACAAAACAAAACAAAAAAACAATAACAAAACGGTGATGAGGTGATGGTTGTGTTTCGCAGCTGAAATTTATATTAGTTTAAATGTTTCTAAACCATGACATAGAACATTGTGCCCCATTAACATATACCATTATTATGTATCAACTCAGAAATAAAACAAATATAGAATAAAAGAAATCATAGTGAAGGAAATAAGCCCAAACACAAATCTCATTAGTGAGTATAACTGCTCTTGACATTATGAATTTTTAGTCTTTTTCCTTCTCAAATATAAAACATTTTATTTATTTTTAAGTATCCATATAATACCTGAATGTATTCTTATAAGAAATTCAAACAATAAAGTGCTAACCCATAACCACATTTCATTTCTTCCTTTTGATCACTGATGTTGATTCTGTACCTTTCAAAGTGATTCCTCACGTATAAATGCAAACTGAATTAAAACTGAACATTCCATGATCTTTGCAATGCGATTTTTATATGCAATTTTATGGCCATATTCTCTGCCTCACATATTCTTCCTAACATCATTTAGAAGCCATAGTATGAATGTACCGCAAATGTGGTACATTTAAGAGACCCTTAATGCCTCTATAAATATGTGTTCAGGAAAATATGCTAATGTTGGAATAAAATCTGCAGCATTCGCTCTGCTCCTTCACCTATGGAAACATCCATTCTCTGTCACCCTCTGTTAGTAGAGACTTTTTCTCTGGGTCTATTTAATGGGTTCTTGGAGGTCAGTATTCCAGTCCTGGCAGCTCTTCTCTGAATGACTGCAGAAGTAAGACTTTTCTTTGCGCTTTGAGTTTGCGTTTTTCCATTCTCCTGCAATCTACTTCATCTTACTTCGTGTCTGTGTTTCCACTATACTGCTTAAAATCTTTCACTTGTTTCCCAGAGTCTAGCAGGCTAAAATCCAAATTCCTTACTGTCATTTACAAGGCCATTGATCTCAACGCCTTGTCCAATAAAGATCTTCTCTCATGCCACCCCATCCCATCCCACTCTTCCTTCTGCTGTAACTTCTTATACATAAATACATGCTGATCCAGCCTCCCCCAAGGACTCAAAATCTGTAGGAAACAGCCCCCCCATTCCTCTGCACCTCTTATTCTGATGCACCCCACCCTCTTCCAAGGTGGTCCTCTCCAGCTGTGAATGGCTGATGAACTTCTATTTATTGCATGAAATTGGTTTCATGCAAAAAA